CAGGTAGGGCAGGGGCAGGGGCGGGAGTGGAGGGGGGAGCTGCAGCTTGGTGGGAGCACAGAGTGTGGGGCTGGGGCTGGCATCAGCATGGAGCCCTCACCCAGGGGGGTGGTAGCAGCATGGAACTTGGGTGTGAGGGAGGATGGATAGGGTGTGGGGACACCCCCCACCCCGACACTCCCTCCATTGCATGCAGCCCTGGCAGGTAGTGGCGGCAGCAGCAGCAGCAGGAGGAGGCAGGGGTGCTCGGGCCACTTATGTCCAGTGGTGTGCGGTTCCAGCCAGTGCCGCACATTGTGATGAGCAGCATAGCCCCACCAGTGCTCCCTGCCATGGACGTGCAGCCCCTGCACTTGCATGCCACTGGAGGGAAGCCCCACATGCTGGAGCTGGCTGTTTTTGCCGCTGCCTGCTGTGCAGGTCCCAGGACTCCGCAGGAAAGCTGGGGCAGGACTCCTCCCCTCCACTTCCAGTGGAGTCCTGAGACCTGCACGGCAGGGAGTGGCAAAGGCAGCTGGCTCCAGCACATGGGGCTTCCTTCTAGTGACACGCGAGTGCAAGGTGCACTTGTGCAGCAGGGAGTGCTGGGGATAGAGGTGGCCTGGTGAGGGCTGTGCTCCTCACTGGGATTGTGCAGCAATGGCCAGAGCTGTACCCCATGGGACATGAGTGCCCTGAGTGTTCCTGCCTGCTGCTGCTGCACCAAGGAGGGAGCACCCCACACCCCACAAATGCCACACACCCATACCCTGCTCCTACAGCCCCCCAACATGCTCTATGCCCCCCCCAACAGCCCAGCATACACACATACTATACTATAGATCCTACATTAGTAAGAACATTGCCAGCAGATCGAGGGAAGTGATTATTCCCCTCTATTTGGCACTGGTGAGGCCACATCTGGAGCACTCTGTCCAATTTTGGGCTCCCCGCTATAGAAAGGATGTAGACAAATTGGAATCCAGTGAAAATAGTTAAGGGTCGAGGAGAGGCTGAGGGAACTGGGGTTATTTTGTCTGGAGAAGAGAAGACTGAGGTGGGGATTCAGTAACAGCCTTCAAGTACCTGAAGGGTGGTTACAAAGAGGACTGAGCTGGACTGTTCTCAGTGGTGCCTTGCTGTTTGAATAAAAGCTCAACCTGAGCAGGGGTGTTGTTGGGGCGGGGGAACCAAGTGCAGTCCCAGAGCTGAGCTCTCTGAGGATGGTGGTAGTTATTCATCTTTGGGCCCTTTCCTTAGGGTGTGGGGGCGGCTGTGCTCTGTGAATTGCTGCTCTTTGGGCCCTGTGGGCTCTCTCAAAGCCCAGCCCTGGCCACCTGGTGCTCTGACAATGCTCCTTTCTCTGACTTGCAGGAAGAAGTACCTGAGGGCTCCACTGCTCCAATGATCCTTGAGGAATCGAGGCTGTAAGAGGGAGGGGTGGCAGAGCTGGGGGATGCTGCCTGCCATCTCTCCTTAGCCCTATCTTTGCCACCAGCACGATCCTTCTGTTATGTACGTAGCATGGCAGTGGGACTCTAGGAAGCTGCTCACAGAGAAAATGGAAAGAAGAGACTGGGACTAGGGTCACTGTCCTCAGCCTGAATCTGTTTTCACCGCTGCATCCTGTGTTGGAGAGCCTGTTGCTCAGCAGGGATACTGAGCAAATGTATTGGCTTCAGGTCTCCCATCAGCCTATAACACCAGTGCCTCTAAACCCCAAGTCCAGCAAAGCACTGAGCAAATACGGCCCAGGGTGTGTGCTTCTGCCCTTGTCTCCTCTTCCAAAGAAGCCAAAACAAGAACCTGCTTTGTGAAGGGCATAGGACAACATTGTGAGCATCCCCCAACACCAGGCATGACCCTTCCTTCAGAAGTGATGGGTCTGCCCTAGTTCAGCACTGCAGTACCTGTCACCCATGACCTGAATGGCTCAGCCTCTCATGTGTCCCCAGCCCTTGCAAAGCACCATGACTTCCATCAGCAGCTCTTGGCTTTGGACAGGGGCCTCCCATCTCAGAGTTTTGTTTTATGGACTAATGTGATATATTTTAATCAAGTTACTCTGATGCTTCTAGAGTGACAGTTTTAAAGAAAATTTAGGAAGCACCAGCATAAGTGCCGATGGCCAGCGCAACTGCTTCTCCTCCCTGCAGGGCCAGGTCTGGCCTCTTCAAAGTGCAGTGTGGACTAGCTGAACTCATACATGGCACTAGCCTCAAGGACCATTGTAGCAATAATCCTGACTGGAGACTGAACTCCTTGGGTCCCAGACCATGTCCTTACTGGTTAAAGCACCTTGTACAGTGTTGATTATGTGTTCTGTGGCTGTCTGAGACAGACAGCTGTGACTACACCCCTTTACCCAAGTCATTAGTCTTAAAATTTTTAAGTTTCACAGTGAAGGGGGCCCAGGTGGCTCTGACAGGGATTCCCTGGATTTTATTCATAACTGGAAACTACATAACATATCTTTTGGATGCTTCACCTCTCATTCATCATCAGTCTTCCCTCCCCCCACACTCCCACTTTCTGACATCTAGTCAGGAACATCAGCCCTACTTCCCTTCCCACTTCCAGTCATGCAGCCTCTCCCCTCTCCTGAACCATCACTGGCTTTCCCTTCCTCCCTCTTCCAACATTGTGAGTGCTGTCAAATGCAGCAAATGCTCAGTTGACAAAGATAAGGAAAGTGGCATTGGAGATTTTCAAGTGTTCTTAATGAAATCAGGTTTAGTCAAGTTTTCAAAACTTAAATCTTATGAACTGATAAATACAGCTCATTTCCCTATCAGAGTGCTGCTTTTGATATAATCAAAAGTTTTTGTGCAATTGTGTCAATTTTGATATTTTATTTTAGAAAAAAGTTATAAAAAATCTTTTGTTTCAAAACACCTTCTTGTGGTGAAATGACCTTCCTTCTATTTCAATGTTAAAAGTTTTATATAAAAATAATTTCAAATTTTATAAAAATGAAATGGTTTTGGCTCAAACAATGTTTTTAAAATTTAGAGTGGTAAGAAAACACTTCCACATTCCTG